CTATTTCTTGTGACCAGACAATGGAAAGGGTTTTCATTCACTTAATGGCCTATCTACAGAGTCATCTTAGCTTCAAGTGCAACTGACCACTGCAACCCACAGCCAGGACATCCTCAAGTCACTGAGAACCAAGAACAGTATACACAGTGACTCAGGCCGGATGATTTGACTGAAGCCCTAAAGAAATCACAGAATGTCACTGACCCCAGCTTCAAGTGTTGGAATGGGGAGAGGCAGTACTGGTTGGGTCTAGTGACTCTGAAAACAAGCTATGAAGGACACTGGACTAGTCCAAGTGAGTCCCAGCTCACAGGCACAATGCGCACCCAAGTGGGCACCATGACTCTAAGACCAGTGTTGCATACTGGCTGACATCACCTCCAGCAGATGGGCTGGCTTAGGCACTTGAACACCTTCTGAGCCACAGAGGAAACTAGTGAAGGCTATTAGAGAACAAGAGAGTTGGCAGTCTTGCATTGCTACATTCATCCACAAGGATGAGGAGGCTTTAGGTACAGACTACTGAGATACAAAGGACACTGTACCACTCAGCTTTTCTGAACTTCTCTTCCCTCCGGGTTCACTGACTTCCCTGAGCATCCCAGTCTACCCTGGCAGTCCTTGCTGCCTTTCCAAGTCTGCCAAATGTGTCTCACACTACAGAGTGAACCTGAGGAGCTAGACTAGTCTGCACACCATGTAGGCCCAACTCACTCAATGTCACCTCCACAATGCTCAGGCTTAGTTTCCCAACAGTGCTATAGAGGTCTCAGAGGGCTGTTGCAAGCCAAGCTGGTAAGAAGCTGAACTTCAAGATAAATTTTGAGAGTGATGCGTAATAACCCACCGAATAAAACTGGAACCCATAAACCCAAGTCGGCAAACTAAACAAAAATACAAGGGAGAGGAATGTTCTTCCTCTGTATAAGCTTTTTGCACCCATTAAACGGAAAAGTACTAACTCTATAGTAGATACCACCTTTGATCCATTATCAGCATCAGGACAGGTGTGAGGGACACCATGCGCCTCCCAAGGAGAGGTTCGGAGGACACAGGTCTCTGCAGTATTCCTCCAGAAATGCAAAATCTGAATCTCATCACAAAGACACACCAGACAAATCAAATGCAGGTAGGCTGTAAACTAGAATTGCCCTGACCCTTCACAAGTGTCACCATGGTAAAGACAAAGGCTGAGGAAGAGTTCCAAATGAATGGAGTCAAAGAGACAAAGCACCAGAATTCAATTCATGACTTATACTGCTAGATCTTGGATCAGAAAAGATATATATTGTTTTGACTAACAAGGACATCAAGGGGACAATGGATAAGATTTACGTCTGCAGATCAGGTAACAGTAGTAGAACGCTACTCACTGGCTGATTTTGACAGTTGCCCTGTGATTATGTAAGGGAATATATTCTTACTTTTAGATAATATAGACGGAAGGAATAAGAGTGCGTGGTGGGGCATCATGGAGAAGCCAGTAAGTACACATGTATCAAGAAAATGTTAACACAACTAAGACAAGATGTTCACACTGGGGACTCTAACGTGACAGAGTAACAGGGTTCTTTGCACCCCTCTTGCAATACTTATGTAAGTCTGAAATTATTTAAAAATAAAAAATTGCCCCAAGTCCACATGATATGGAGGTCAAACTCCTAATGGTAGCTCCCCAGCAGGGTCACCTGGGGACTCTTAGGAGTCAGAGAGAAGGGACAAGCCCAGGGTCAAGGCACTCACAACCTGTGCCTCTCTCACCTCTGCCTTCACAGGTTCATCCTCCACAGCTTCACCTCACACACTTCCCCACCACCCTGAAGTAGACTGAACACATGACACCTATGACAACTTCTCTACATCTCTAACTGGAGAAACGGGAAAATAGCCTGTCAGGCTTTGCAAGCTCACAGCAATAAAAACCAACACTTTAGAAAACGTGCTGTCATGGTGTGCAGTCAACACAGACACTAAATAATTAAAGAGGCTATGATCCATCCTAATACATCTAGTGTCTTCCTAGATGGACACTAGCTCCTCTTGCTTATCAAGACAACAGATCACTGTAATCCATCATTTTCCACACTGCCCACTCACTTCCTCCTCCACTTCTACCTCCAAGGTTCAACAATGGGCCTTTACTGTGATGACAATGGGCTGCTTTTAATCTAGTAACTATCAAGACAGGCACTGTGGCTTTGAGGTTCACTGTGTTACTATCCAGAGTTTCAGTCTGGTGTTTTGAACTATTTATAAAATCTGGAGAATCTATTTGCCTTTTGCAGACTTAGTTTACTGCCTAGGATCTATCCCTATTCCTTCCCTGCCACAGCCCAGCCTACTAAGAAAGGTGAAATACTTTATTAGCGACTACATTTTAGCACTGGATTTTTTTAAGATACACAAAATAAGGTGCATAATTACAAAATCTTGCAAAAATAGTGCAATGGGGCTAACTTAGATTTGTTTTATTGAAGGCATGGGGAACAATAGGTCACATCTCATTTGAAAAAAAGAGACATGAACATCTTAACATGCACATTCAGCATTAAACTATAAAATACCACTGGGAGAAGAGCAGGAGGGCAGGCTGTTCAGATGCTGCCACCTCATCCTTGATGGTGAGGTAAGGTAATGAAGAAAACCTGATGGCCTATATCCCACCTGCATGGACCTGAAAGCCAGACTGATGGCAGTGGATATGGCTGCACTCAGACCCTCTACCAACCTTAGCCCACGTCTCATCACTGACCACTCATAGTCCCCACAGAGCTGCCTCAACTTGGCCCATGTGGGCAGGCTCCTCAGAAAGCCTTGTAGAGTCATTTGTTCATTCTTTGTGGTTGAAAGAACGACTTGTGAAACCTCCGTGAACATACCCAGATCTGTAGCCAAGATTCTGATATGCTCATGAGAACGGGGAGTTGTGCCAGCTTATCTCAGTGTGCAGAATCCCCCACAGGACAAGGAAGCTCAGGGCGCCAAGACCCACTATCTTGTCCTGTGGCAGCCCCACCCATCAAGCTAGAGGCCCTTCAAGACAGGCTCAGAGATGCCACCTCACCTATTGGAAATGACCTGTCCAAACCGACTGTGGACACAGCCCCAGGATCAAGACTTGAATGCAGCTACTTACTCTCTGGAAGTGCCCAGTCTCCCCCACTTTAGCATTAGGATCAACCTCCTGAATACACCATGGCCCCATTTCTGATGAGAGACAAGGCCAGTCACACATAGTAGCACCAAAATCCTTTTAGAGAAACAAATGCAGGAGAATCAAGGGGATTGAAACTTCAGTTGTAATACAAGGTTAACCAACCTTCCAAAAAAAGCTATTGCCATTTCACATCTAGGCTTAGAAGGAATTTGTGTCCTGCATGATACCCAGAGGATCCTGGGTATGTGCTAAAAACATTATCTTAAGAAATTCTGCTGGGTGCCAGTGGCTCACGTCTATAATCCTAACTACTTAGGAGGCAGAGATCAGGAGGATCACAGATTGAAATCAGCATGGGCAAATAGTTCTTGAGACCCTATCTCGAAAAAGCCCATCACAAAAACAAAAAGGGGCTGTTGGAGCGGGTCAGGGTGTAGGCCCTAAGTTCAACTCCCGTACCACAAAAAAGAAAGAAATTCCTCAGTTCATTCATCAATATGACAGCTCCCGTTTAATGATAGAAGTGTGACCATAACACACACATGCATGCACTTGTGCATGTACATTCAGACACACACAGATGTGAAGGGAGGAAGAGGGTCGGATGTTGTGTTTAGAAAGTCTAGGACCCTGCACCCCTACCCCAAACTGAGACTCTGCACAGGAGAAATGACAGGTCCTTGGCAAGGGGGAAAGCGTCTCTCTGTGTCTAACGGAGGCCTGGGCAGCAAGCAGCGCGGTATGACAGAATAGGAATGACTCAAAGCGATTAACAGGGAATGCCCATTTACTTGGCAGGGCTGGATGAATAAGAGATGAACATTTAAAGTGGGACAGAAACATCAGGGTGTCCTGAGCATGACTCCCTCCAGAAGAGAAAAGAGATTTTTAAAAAGTCTTTCTTTTAAAAGGTACTTCTAGAAGTGACAAAGAATAAATGAAAGATATCAACGATTGCATCATTTCCCACAAAACAGACACAGTGTCTTCCTTTGGATAAACCAAGAGAAATGTCTTCATAGGAGGTATTTGGAAGAATGTGAGCAAGTCAAAATTACCTTCTGTCACACATTTGTTACAGTATCCCTTAGAGGACCTGTCTGTCACCCTACTCACAATGGTCCTCAGTCCCAGCCCTAAAGTCCACATGTGGGCAACAGGGGTCCAAAGAGTCACATGTATTCTACCAGACAAACAAAAAACCAAAAGGTTTTTTTTTTTTTTTTTCAAAGATAGACTGTTTCTACAGAATATATAGTGCTCAAAATTTCTTTAAAAATCAAGAACACACCACAGAATTTAACTATCCTTATTTAAAGTTTGCTCACTACAAATTAAAGGCTACTGATCAGTGGCCTCCTAATATATTTCAGTAAACATAGGTGGCTGGCCAGCAGCATGGCTGAGAGGCTAGCCTCTCCCTGCTGTTACTCTGCTGCTGTCAAAGGAGTCTGGGGCAGTGCTGGCATCGCGCCCTGAGGCTAAGTGACCATGCAAATTTTAAAACTACCTACAGGAAGTGCAGAAGCACCTTATATGGATTGAAAACTATGTGCATAATATTTAGGTGGGGACATTTCAAAGCCCTATAAATCTTTGTTTAGTACTGATGTTTTAAGAACTGTGCTCATAAAATACCTTTTGTGGCTTCACACCATATTTTATTTAAAGGCCATCATTTAAATTCAGCCATAAACAAATGGAAAACAGGAAAGGAGAAACAATGGAGGGTCACATGGAGGCAATACCTTCATTTCCAGGGTTAACATGTAGCTCTTACTTGTCCTTTTTTTTATGGTGGGAGGGAGGGTGTTGAAGGGGTGGGTAGAGAAAGCGTCCTTACCCTCCTTGGGTAATATGCATTGAATTCGTCTCCGATACGTCGCAACTCTTGTGCGATCCAAATCTCTGGGCGCATGTCCATGGGTTCCACCTGAGACTGCCTCATGGAAGCTGCATTAGAACAAACAAAAGAGAAATCAGACTGCGCTCCCTGCAGCACTGAGAGCGACCCACAGTTTCTAGAAGCAAGCCCGCCTCACACACACTCGTTTCTGGAAGCCCTCTGACTCAGAAACTCTAACCATGTGTTAAAGATTATAGTGCAGGCTCTGCCGTGTAATTCTGGCCAAACAATCAGGGATGTAGAATAATATCCCTTTATAGAATGAGAGATTCAGCACTGCAAGAATTAAAAATACCCCAGCCCATTCATACACACACTTCCAGAAGACTCACAAAAAATGTTACAATGAGTAGTATCAACAAAGAAATATATTTGAGGGCTTAGGGTATGGGTCAGTGGCACACGTGCCTACCATGCATGAGGCCTTGGGCTTACTCCCCAGCACCACAAAAAAGGAAGAAAGATGAAACAAGACTTGAAACACATCGGAGCATAAAAATTTAGTTTGTCAGTAAAACAGCCATTGTGATGTTATGATAAGGTAAAAATTCTTATGAAAATCTCAAACATCACCCAGCAATGAGATGAAATGGTTGTCTTTTTCAAAGCAAAATAAGGGAAAACCTGAGAAACCTGGGAAGATTGGTTTCTATGGAAGCAGGTTCAGTGACACAAATAGCCAGTCTTCCCAAGTGCTATCCAAGGCCAAAGAGAAGCTTAATTGCATGTTTTGCCTCAATATTAAATACAGCCAATAAAGATGGATTGATGTCCACAAACACCACATGGGGAGAGGAACTGTTTTGGGTTTTTGAAGGGAGAGAAAAGAGGGCAGTTGACCCTTTCATTAAACTCACTAACATGCACACCTAGTACATTCATCCATTTGCTACTGAAATCATTAAAAGCCACACGATAGCCAAGCATGAAGGAGAACAAAACTGAGTCGTCAAAAGATCCCATCATGCATTAGGAAGGTAACAGTCTCATACTACACAGAAAAGGGGTTAGTAATGTGTACAGGATTCTGGGATTACAACATTCAATTTAGATTTGCTTACTGTGAAAATGAGCACTTTGTACTCACAAAGAAAAACACACTTTAACCTCGGCAAAGTAGGTGCTACTTGGACTTTAGAGTAACACTGAATGTATCTTCTGTAAAAGGTCCACAAAACTGATATTCATAATTCTACAAGCACATAAAAGCAAATGCTCTAAGGAGTTTTAGCCAATTCTCAAAACTCTTGTCCCATCTTCTCTGATCAAATGAATTTAACAGTAATTCCATAAAGAATGAGAGCTACACTGGGTGTGTGATACACACCTGCAATCCCAGCCCTTGGGAGGCGGTGGCAAGAAGACTGAGTTCAAGGCCAGCCTGGGCTTTATAGTGAAACCCTATCTCAATCCCCCTTTTGGCAAAAGACTGAGGGTTTAAAAGAGGCAGGTATCCCACAAGGCCTTGGTGTAGAAGGGTGGGGGACACACAAGAGACCCTCCCCTTCCCCTAATTACCTGAATTCTGTGAGTAAGCCAGAGAAGCCCTGATGGAGACACGAACGCTGATGGAGGGAAACTTTCAGGGCAAGTCAGGCACGGCTCCTGAACACACATCCAATCATAAACTATTACTCAGGTTCTACCTTTTGTCACATAAATGTTTCTAATATTTATCTGTAAAGTTTATTAAAATTATGTTCCAAACAACTGGCAGAAAACAAAATTTAAGGGCAGACACGATACTAGATGATGATGTCATAGATCCCTTTTCTTGGCTTTTTAGTCCTTTAAAGATTAACTATCACAGGTACCAAATCTTTAGTGTTTTTTGTTTTTTTTTTTTGGCAGTACTAGGGTTTAAACTCAGTCTTCAACAATTAAGTTTATCAACAACCAAGCACTCTTTCTGACTTAGCAGGTTTTAGAAAGTAAAAGGGAAGGAAAGCATCTTCTGTTGGGGTCCTTCTGTAAGGAGGGAGGGTCTCACATGCAGACCTCTTACAGTCCCCATTCAGGCCCCACAGGGAGGCACACCCACCCACTCACACAGGTGAGCGAGCCCACTTGAGGACACACCATGTGGCTGATGACAGGCCTCCAGCGACTTACTTCCCTGGGTCTCAAAGCCCTCCTTGTTTCCCCTTATACATGGTTGAGAGAAAAATGTGCCTCAACCCTGGAGCATAAATGAAAGTGCCAACTGTGAAAAGAAAGTCAATGAAATACAGATTGCATGTTTTCTAAAGTTGGAGTGGTAAAAGTTGTTGGTCAAGTTACCCAATGTTTAATAAACTGAGAAATCCACAGGTTTACTCAACAAACAAATGCCCACGGTCCACATGTTGTCCAAGGAAGAGTTCCGGATACAGAAACAAAGGCAGCCAAGCCTCATCCCCACAGGGATGAGATTCTTATGGATATATGTGAATTCAAAAAGCACGGTTTACACTTCTTGTGACTCAAAACAAAAGTAACTCTCTGGTTAGTTCCCCCAATCTGAAGATGAAGCCTACTGAATTCTACCTAATGCCCTCACTTCTAAGTACAGTTTGCAATGTTCTGTCTGGCTCATGTCTGGGCTGGCAACTTGAAGCATCATTGAAAGAGCCAGAATGTCAGAAGTCAGCTTATCAAAAGTAGCACAGAGCAAACCAATCAACCCATCCAGCAACTAAGAACTATGGATCACTGGGGGGGCCAAACTCAACTTGTTCATCTTGGAGATAAATGCACTGCTGTTTATTGGGGAGGGAGATAAGCGGATGGCCTGTTTCTTCCACAAAAGTTCAGTACCTAACTGTTAGTTCAAATATGTGCACTGATGTAAACAGATCCCACGGTCTGGCAGTAAGGCTCAGGGTGGGAGGGACCATGAGGTCTGGGAGGCTGCACTCTTACAAGCCTTGCACAACTGTGGGGCAGACAGGCTGTCCATAGATCAGACCCCAGAAACACTGCACAAAGGGCCAGCAACAGTGGAGATGCTCTGGGGCCCTGATCTGTGTCTTCAGGGAAGAGTCAAAAGTGTTACCAGAGATAATGGTTTAGACCAGGCTTAGTTTACACTGTAATTTGCTGGCAACAGTTCTGGATTAGTAAGCAAGCTACCAACTGTATTTAGGTGTAATTAAAAAAAAAAAAACTGTTTCAAAATAGTAATGTACAATATAAATATTTTACAGAGGAGAATGATGTTTTGGTTATTCTAACATAGCCAAAAACCTATCACTATTTGTTTTCCTAAAGAGGGTTTTGTTTATGGTATTAGGGATCCAAGGGCTTCTCAAATTCTGGGCAAAAGCCCTATCAGTAGGTTCCCAATGCCAGCTCCCGGAACAGTTTTATTGGTTGTACTGGATGGGGATTGAACTCAGGGCCTCAAGCACTCTGTCACTTGAGCCACACCTTCAGTCCTTTTGCTTTTTAATTTGTGTTTTAGGTAAGTCTTGCGCTTTTGCCCAGGCTCACCTTAGATGGCACTTCTCTCACCTCCCCTTCCTGAGTACCTGGGATTACAGGTATGTGTCACCATGCCCAACCCAAACAGTTTAAGAAGCAAATACAATTGATATTCCTTGAATCTATAAGCCTAAAATTAATGGTTAATCTTCATCCTGCCATAAGACATAGGTAATATGTACACTGCAGTATATGGTTTCAAGATTATATGACACAAATTCTATTTGGGTATTTTTAAAGGCCTGATATTCCTGTATCTTAAAAGTAGTAGTTTTAATCTGTTAATACATTATTCAACAAAAACTTCAAATACTATTTCTTAAGTGACAAAATATCTTCTCTGCGGGGAAACTTCCCCTTAAACTTATCACTAGTTTAATGTCAGTGACTGGAGTCCAGTTGACCAACTTGAGCCTGTCAGCCCCACGGTGGTACCAGTCAGTCAGAGCCATTTAAGGTCTTTATTCCCTTCAGCACTAGTTGGCTTCGTTCTGTCCCACAGTTGCCCACAAAGACCACCACAATGGAAAGAGGCCCATGTGATGGTCTTCTGAAGCTGCACCTGGAAACCCGTGGGGCAGGAGACAGACTGCTAGGAAAACCTTACTGCTCTGTACGCTTCTGTCATTCTGCCCTGACACTCACCCAGCTATTCCCACTACCATACAGCCAGCCTCTCAAAAAGGTATACGCAGGGTCATTTCCAGTCTTTAAGAAAGTTAAGTATCAATCACAAATATTTATTTTTCTACCCACAATGTGCCTAACAATCATAAATGCTGGCATTTACTCAACAGAATGGCTCTTTATTAACAAGTAGCAAGATCGTACTTTTAACTCAGGAGGTAATTTTACATGTACATTAAAAAATTCTTCAAAGGGAGATTTTGCTGAGGTGCATTTATACCCCCAGAACATGTAGTTTCACTATTTAAGAAAGCACTTGACTCCATAAACCTGGCACTAAAACTATGAAGGAAAAAAAAGTAATAGAAAAAAGAAACCCATGTCAAAATACAAAATGTTGTACTGTAAAGCTATCTCAGAGCTGCAACTTACAACGACACCCCAGTCCTGCAAGTGCCAGTCCAGGTCCAGGAACTCTTTCTTCTTACTTATAACAAAAACCCAAAACTTGCATAATGCAATGATCAGACACAACAGCTTTGTGAAAAATGTCCTATGCCTGGTGAATTTTCATCCAAACTCTTTGAAATAAGTGTTTGAAACCCAGAACTTACTGATAATGTTATTTCCTATGGCAAAATTCCACAAGGTGTGATCAATCTATTTTTCAAGACAGGCAGGGGTAGAGGAGAGGGGGTGCAGGGTATTTCCAACACCAAAGGGCTTGATGACTCAAAGATGAATGCTGCTTTGTTAACACACTGTTCTGGTTTAGCCCACAGAACTATTTTCCAACTCATAAGGTAATTTAAAATCTAAAAAGCTCAGCGATTGAAAGAATTAATACCGTGGTTAAGTGGTTGATAGTGAAATCAGGCTGGGGTTTTCGGTAGACTTTCTGTAGCACCACCAGCCAAGTCAGGAAAATAAAAAACAAGACTGTCAATTCATAATGAGC